GGGTGCGCCCCGGCTCGGCCTAGGAGTTTCCTGAGAGACACCACGCACATGGTACTGTGCTTGTCTCAGTGGGATGTAAAGTAATGAACCACGGTGGGGCATAATTCCCTAGAACAGCTAGCCTGGGATGGGCCGACTGCCCCCCACGTGGGATCGCTCCCCCCTTCCACACTGACTTGGTCAGTTCCAATAGAGAAGGAAGCGGAGACGAACATGGCGAGCCAGAAAGCGCTGGTCTGCCCCCTCTGGCCTGGAGTGGAACTGCACAAAAGAACCTCCCTAGGAAATCAACAGATGCACTACTTGTTCTTCCGTTTTTTTCTTTGGACATGTTGCTCACAGCTATGTATAACGATTTGCCTCATTAAAACTAATGTAAATCCATGTGACGAGTATAATTCACTAATCTTAAGATATTAAATAAAATGTGCTAGTTTTCTTATTTTTTCTTATAGCATGAGAACCCCAGAGGTGAGTCTAATAACATGAGAACCCCATAGGGGAATGCTTGAGTTCTGGCCCTAAGAAAAATAATTCTTTATGATAGAAGTGTCTCCTACTTATTAAAGAGGAATATTTTGGTGGAGACTTGCTCTAAAAGTGGGAAATGAAATGGAGACACCACGTAAATAATGTAAATGAAATACCAAGAGACGGGCGCTACTGGACGCTGCATAGCACACTGCTCGGAACTGAACCTAGAGCCTCAGGCATGCCAGGCAGACACTCCGCCACCGGGCTATCTTCCAAGCCCTTGCAAAACATTTTAAGCTTACAATTTGCGTTACTATAGCAATTATTCAGACTGGGATGGAGGAGGGTCAACATCTGTAGCATGTATTTCAAATTACGTGAAATATGAGCAACATTCTCAATGTGCTACATGCAGTCTGACAGGAACAAAGTGTGCCACCTGTAGAGCTGGTTGGCAGTGCCTCTGTCCACCTATCTCAGTCTTTCCCGGTGTTTAAAAAACGCTGTATCACCTGAGCTCCTGGGACATAGGGGTTGCGCGGTGTGCTTTTCAATTGCTGAGAGAAAACACTATGACCAAAAAAACCTTTAGTAGAAATTGTTTATTTGCAATGACAGTTCAAAACGAATGAGTTTGGCAGGGAGACGTGGCACCAAGCAGCAGCATGGAGTCAAGAGGAGGAAACAGAAGGATTATGTTTTGATTCACCGGCTCTGTATATAAAATATGGCAATTTAAGTTTCAGCTCCAAGCGGGAAGCAGAGCAAACTCAAAATGGTGCGAGTCTGTGAACTCTCCAAGTTCTCCTTCAAGGGCTCCTTTTCTAAACCTCCTTCAACAGCGCTGCCAGCTGGGGAGCAAATAGTCAAAGGCTGAAACTCTGGGGGACATCTCATCTAAACCAACATCTGTAATGTGCTACTCTCAGCCATCCCTGTATCCCAGCATGGGCTGCTTGCGTAGCCCTTGTCCCTGTTGGTACAGGGCTGCTCCTCCTGATTGCTGTCAACATAGTAACAGAAAGTAACGGCTGGTCTTCTGAGATTCGATCCTGAAAGACTGTGTTTTCAGTCTCCGCTCACTCCAGTACTGCTCGTCTTGCTCTTTCCACCAAAGCCAACTGCTGTGTTGTTAGTGGCTCTTTGGAGAGGTCTACAAGGCGACAAAATGAGAACCCCTCCAGCCTCCAGCCAGTGAGCAGTGGACAAAGAAGGCTAGACTCAGGGTGGAGTAAAGTTTGATGTTTAACCAACACCTTAGGGAATGAAGCAAAAGCCAAGTTGGCATATTGGATAGCTTCACTGAGGCCATGGATCATGCGAACTAGAAACAGCATCAGGCTGAGAGAATGTCACTTCAAAGTAACTCTCCTTTATTTAGAATGCTTAGGGTCAGGGATTCTGGAGAGACGGCTCAGCAGCTAAAACACTTGCCACTCTTGAAGAGGCCCTGTGATGGGTTCCCAGTGCCCACATCAGGCAGCTCACAACTGCCGGTAACTCCAGCTCCTGGGAAGTGGGGGTGGGGGTGAGGGGGTTGAGGGATGGAAGAGTGTGGGGGGACATTCCTCCCTGGCCTGCATGGGTATCTGCACTCAACAACACACACCCACACACATGTAAAGGCCTGTAAAAAGTGCTTAAGATCAGAAGCATTTAATATTTTAGAGGGATTTTTCTTAATTTTTGAAATATTCTTATAGACTCCACTAGTTGAGTATCCCTAGTAAAAAAGCCTAAAATCCAAAGACTTTTTTCCTTTACAGAAACCATGTAGCCTAATTTGGCCTCAAACCCATGGCCCTCTTGCCTCAGTATCCTGGACTCTGAGATTAAAGCTTTCTCCATTATGCCCTGCAGCTAAAACCCAAACATTTTTTTTTATTGTTTTTGTTGAGCTATACACTTTTCTCCACTCCCTTTCTTCCCTCCTCCTCCCCTTCTGCTCTCTCCCGTGACTCCCATGCTCCCAATCTACTCAGGAGATCTTGTCTTTTTCACCTTCCTATGTAGATCCATGTATGACTCTCTTAGGGTCCTCTTTGCTGTCCAGGTTCTCTGGAGTTGTGAATTATAGGCTGGTTTTTCTTTGCTTTATGACTAAAAGCCACTTATGAGTGCGTAGATATTATATTTGTCTTTCTGGGTCTGAGTTACCTCATTCAGTATTTTTTTCTAGATCCGTCTGTTTGTCCTCAAATTTCAAGATGTGTAGTACTCCACTGTGTAAATGTACCACATTTTCTTTATCCATTCTTCAGTTAAGGGGTTTCTACATTGTTTCCAAGTTATGGCTATGATAAATAATACTGTTATGAACATAGTTGAGCACATACCATTGTGGTATGGTTGAGCATCCTTTGGGTATATACCCAAAAATGGTATTGCTGGGTCTTGAGGTAGACTGTTTCCTAATTTTCTGAGAAATTGTCATATTGATTTCCAAAACAGCTGTACCAGCTTGCACTCCCACCAGCAATGCAGGAGTGTCCCCCTTACTCCACATCCTCTCCAGCATAAGTTGTCATCAGTGTTTTTCATCTTGGCCATTCTTACAGGTGTAAGATGGAATCTCAGAGTTGTTTTGATTTGCATTTCTCTGATGGCTAAGGATGTTGAGCTTTTCCTTAAGTGTCTTTCAGTCATTTGAGATTTGTCTGTTGAGAGTTCTCTGTTTAGCTCTGTACCCCATTTTTTTATTGGATTATTTGTTCTTTTGATGTTAAGTTTCTTGAGTTCTTTGTATATTTTGGATCTCAGTCCTGTCTGATGTGAAAACCCAAATGTTTTTGAACATCTTGGCACACAATGTTTTCTGGATTTTGAGCATTTCAGAATTTGGATGTTGGGGTGTTCAACTTCTTTACGGCACTAAACTAATTTTTGTGTCCCAAATGTGACCCCAAGTATCTTGAAAGTCACACAGGTCGTATGAGCTGACTCAGTTCTCCCGAGAAAGACGCTCCCTTGGCACTTACACAAACTATTAAAACCCAAAGGGGCTTTGGCTGTTCATTCCTGCTGGGCATCCACGGTCCCCTAGGTCTTTGCTGCCCCATCTCTAGCTGGGAGGGGTAGGAATGGCCCTCTCCTGTTTTCTTGTGGCACCCATTGGCAACATATTGTGGGCGAGGTGGAGGGGTGCTCTTTTTTTGTTGGATGGTAATAAATCTTGACCCTCTGGCCTCTCTGACTCCATCCATCGGGAGGGAGGGGACACTATTACCGCTATGTGGGGACAGAAGTCCAGGAAGTGGTCTCCAGAGATGCCATGGAAAATAAGGGTCTCATTTATTACCCAAGGAGAATGAAACCGGCTCCTTCCCCAGCCTTCTTTGGTACCATTCATCTGGTTATATTGGGGTCCTTGTAGATGGCAAAGGTCTAAGTTGACTCCCTACTCAGTCCTTGTCACACTTTCCGCTGTGATTTTAGGTTATAATAAAGAGGATTTCTAAATACGTTTTCCCCTTCACTTTCTTGATCCATTGATTCAACAAAGAAGCCTTTGGTTGGTTCGTACTTGTTCACTTGTTTCTGTCCGTGTCCACTGGCAAGATTGTCCCTCTAGCAACCCGTCTGGGACAATAAGGCAGAAAACAATTCCTCCCCCGATAAACTCCACAGGAACTCACTACTGTGTTTTTCTTTCAAGCACAAAGCTGTCTGTTCTGCATCTCCCCTGCACCTGTCCGAGTCGTGTTTTGTCCCACCTCACATACAGTGACTTGTATCATCAACAGAGGAAATGTGCGCTCGTCTCCTGTCTGGAAGTGGAAGTTGCTTCCCTTTGTTTCATTCTCTCCAAGCATCAAGAAGTCTCTGTACAGGGGCTAGAGAGATGTCTTAGCTGGTAAGGATGTTCGTCACACAAGCCCAACAGCATAAGTGCAGTGGTGCAGTGAACTGAACCTGTCACCCAAGCACAGAGATGGAGGCAGAGCAGGAACTGCCTTCGCTGGAGCACAGCACAGCAGCAAGAAGCACCAGAGACCTTCCCTGGGAGTGGGGGGAGACAGAGGGAGAGGACTGACTTACAAATGTTGT